ACTACCAACACCCACTCTACAACTACTACCACCACCACCACCACCACAACAAGTACTACCACTACTACTACTACCACTACTACTACTATTACTACCACCACCACCACTACAACAAGTACTACTACTACTACTACTACTACTACTACTACTACTACTACTACTACTACTACTACTACAACTACTACAACCACCACCACTACCACCACACAACAACAAGTACTACTACTACTACTACTACTACCACCACCACCACCACCACAACAACAAGTACTACTACTACCACTACTACTACTACACTACTACTACTACTACTACTACCACTACCACCACTTACACAACAACAACTACTACTACTACTACTACCACTACTACTACTACTACTCACTACCACCACCACCCACTACTACTACTACACCCACTTTCTACAACTACTACTACCACCACCACTAACAACAACAAGTACTTCCACTACTTACTACTACTACAACTACCACCACCACCACCCACTACTACTACTTACAACACTGACTCTACAACTACTACCACCACCACACCACCACAACAACTACTACTACTACTACTACTACTACTACTACTACCACTACTACCACTACTACTACTACCACCACCCACTCTACTACTACTACCAACACCTACTACTACTACTACTACCACCACAGCCACAACAACTACTACCACTACTACTACTATTACTACTACTACTACCACCACTACCACAACAAGTACTACCACTACTACTACTACTACTACAACTACCACCACCACCCACTACTACTACCAACACCATCTACTACTACTACTACTACTACCACCACCACCACAACAAGTACTACCACTACTACCACTACTACTACTACTACAACTACCACCACTCACACTACTACTACCACCAACACCATCTCTAAAACTACTACCACCACCACCACAACAAGTACTACCACTACTACAACTACTACTACTACTACTACTACTACTACCACAACCACCACAACAAGTACTACCACTACTACTACACTACTACTACTACTAGAACTACCACCTACACCTACCCTACTACTACTACTACCACCCACTACAACTACTACTACTACACTACTCACTACTACTACAACTACTACTACCACTACTACTACTACTACAACTACAACTACCACTCACCACCCACTAACTACTACCACTACTACTACCACTACTACTACCATACAACTACTACCACCACACCACAACTACTACTACACTACTACTACTACTACCACTACTACTACTACTACTACCACTACCACCCACTACTACTACCAACACCCACTCTACACATACCACCACCACCACCACCACAACAAGTACTACCACTACTACTACTACTACTACTACTACTACTACTACTACTACTACTACTACTACTACTACTACTACTACTACTACTACTACCACCACCACAACAACAACAAACAACAAGTACTACTACTACTACTACTACTACAACTACTACCACCACCACTACCACAACAACTACTACTACTACTACTACTACTACCACCACCACCACCACAACAACAACAACAAGTACTACTACTACTACTACTACTACAACTACTACCACCACCACCACCACAACACCACCACTACTACTACTACTACTACTACTACTACTACTACTACTACTACTACTACTACCACTACTACCACTACCACCACTACTACTACACCACCCACTACTACCACTACTACCACCACCACAACAACAACAACTACTACTACTACTACTACTACTACTACAACTACCACCACCACCCACTACTACTACCAACACCCACTATCTACAACTACTACCACCACCACCACAACAACAACAAGTACTTCCACTACTTCTACTACTACAACTACTACCACCAACTTACCACTACTACTACTACCACTACCCACTCTACAACTACTACCACCACACCACCACAACAACAACTACTACTACTACTACTACTACTACTACTACTACTACTACTACTACTACTACTACCACTAGAACTACCACCACCCACTACTACTACCACCACACCTACTTCACAACTACTACTACTACCACTACCACTACTACTACTACTACTACTACTACTACTACCACTACTACACCACCACCACCACCACACAACAACAACAACTACCACTACTACTACTACTACTACTACCACCACCACCACTACTACTACCACCACACCCACTACTACTACTACTACCACCACCACCACCACCACCACACACAACAAGTACTACCACTACTACTACTACTACTACAACTACTACCACCACCACCACACAACTACTACTCACTACTACTACCACTACTACTACTACTACAACTACCACCACCACTACCACTACTACTACCAACACCACTCTACAACTACTACCACCACCAACGCACTACACCACAACTAAGTACTACCACTACTACTACTACTACTACTACTACAACTACTACCACCACCACCACAACAACTACTACTACCACTACTACCACTTCATACTACTACTACTACAACTACCACCACCACCCACTACTACTACCAACACCCACTCTACAACTACTACCACCACCACCACAACAAGTACTACCACTACTACTACTACTACTACTACTACTACCACCACCACCACCACGACACAACAACAAGTACTACTACTACTACTACTACTACTACTACTACTACTACTACAACTACCACCACCACCCACTACTACTACCAACACCCACTCTACAACTACTACCACCACCACCACAACAAGTACTACCACTACTACCACTACTACTACTACCACCACAACAAGTACTACCACCACTACTACTACTACAACTACTATCACCACCACCACAACAAGTACTACCACTACTACTACTACTACAACTACCACCACCACCCACTACTACTACCAACACCCACTCTACAACTACTACCACCACCACAACAACTACTACCACCACCACTACCACCACCACCACCACTACCACTACCACTACTACTACCACTACTACTACTACTACTACTACCACCACCACCACCACCACCTCTACCACCTTTTAACCGCCTCCGTGGTGTAGTGGTTAGAGCGTCCGCCCGGAGAGCGGAAGGTCGCGGTTCGATCCCCGACTGCGTCATACCAAAGACGTTAAAATATGGTACTTGTTGGTCCCTGCCTGACGCTCGGCATTAATGGGTTCAACAAGGACTGGTCGGCTCGGAGTCAGTATAATGTGTCTGAGTGGGGTATTCATGCTTCACTGCGGCATTGTATCTCTGTGGGCTAGCACTATAAAACCAGCTTCAGTCTGGGCTACTACAAGCAGCCGCACATACACATACACACGCATGCACGTAGTCATATGAGCGAAATATTCTGTAGCACGACGTTAAACCCAATTTCACCTCACTTCACCTTACTACCACCACCCACTACTACTTTCAACACCCACTACTACAACTGCTACTACTACTACTACTACCACCACCACCGCCACAACTACTACTACTACCACCACTACTACTACTACTACCACCCACTACTACTACTACTACCACCACCACCTTAACAATTATTACTACTACTACTACTACGACGACGACGACGACGTCAACAACGACTTCTTCAGCAAGCAACTACTATTATGAACACACGAAGGTGACTAACACGTGTCAGGTGGTCAGGGTCACTGACTTGTTTGATTACACATGTCATCCCATCCCAACTGCGTAGATCGGTGTTCATGATGTCAGTCACTGGATTGTCTGGTCCAGACTCGATTATTTACAGACTACCGTCATGTAGCTGGATTATTGGACCACTACAAGGGGTTACATCTACTACTACTACTACTACTACTACTACTACTACTACTACTACTACTACACCACCACCACTACTACCACCACCACCACCACCACTACTACTACTACTACTACTACTACGTCTACTACTACTCATCAACTCAAACTTTAACAGAACTACGACCGTGTGACAGTACAGCTGGTCAAACATTTGTCAATAAATCCAAAAACATGTTTTGATAACAAACATTTTATTACCAATAAATATAACATTGTATATCTAAACACATCGTACATATGATTGTCATTGCATAGCACTTGTATGTATAACAGGTTTGTGTATAAGGTAAAACTGTACTTAACAATTGTATATACGTAACACAGCGGCATATGTATACAGATGTTCATCTTTATAATACAAGTATCATACATTTTGGCACTGACTGAATATTAAAAACAAGGCACCCGACACTAATTAAGATCAAAATTGATCTGGACGGATTACAGCCCTACATGTTATGCTTTTAGTACACCACATAAAAAGCAGATTAACCCGGAAATAATTTGAACAGGCAATGAAAATTTTTTTAAATTCATTTTCTAAATTTTATCTGATTTTTTTCTTCAATTTATTTCGATGCTCTGGGCTTAATCACAAAATCTGGCATACTGACTCGGTGCACCACTCTGCCCATTTGCCTACTTCGGTTCGAATCCCTTTGGTACACAGGCATCCACGCTTCTATATTTTAAGAATACAGCAAGGTATGGATATCGTTTTATAATCCTGGCATTTCGCCATTGACCAGAAGCTGTTGTGCCTTTCATTACTCATTTTCCTTTGTCACTCTGCACTGATATGTTCGTCCACTGAACATTTCAACTATTTAACGTATATACAGTATAAATTATGCAAGGTTCGTAAGTGCTCAAATGAAGTATGTACACATGATTGCAATACAGCATCAGAAAGTCAAATTACATCAGAGGGAGGGTTATTATCATGTTTATAAGTGTCTATAGAGGGGAGATGATGATGGTGATCTTGAAGGATGCGCCCTGCTGGATGTTGTGTGAAACAGTCTTTCACTGAGGACCTGCCTGGTTCCCTAGGTCCTCCTCCTCTACCCCTCCTCCTCCCCTGCTCCTCCATCTCCTCCTCTACCCCCCTACAGCGCTGGAGATGAGGTCCAGCTCAGCCCTGACAGTGCTCAGTGACATCCTGTCTATGGGCAGCTGCTGGGTGCAGGACTGACTCACACTCTCCAACTCTGGGATCTGACTCTTCCTGCCAATATGTCCCAGGAGATGTCCCAGACTGTAGATGTCCGACAAGGGGCTAGAGTGGGACCCCATGCACACCTCTGGGGCCAAGTAATTATGATCATCAATATGAGGTCGGGAACACTCGAACTGAAGCCCTTGTCTGTAAGTAGCCATTCCTACATCGATGTATCTGATTTCAGGCAATCCAGAAGTTAGGTCCACAAGTACATTGTCACTCTTTACATCATTGAGGAGGACATGCTTAGCATGGATTGCCTGGAGTCCTTCAGCAAGCTGGCAACAGATGCTCATCCAGGTCGTCTTGCTCAGCTCATCTTGGCTTTGTAACAGTTTCAGGATGGTCAGACCATTGCCGAAGTACTCCTGTACCAAGGAGTGTCCACCTTCGGATGCCGAGGACGTTATCAATCCCACAAACTCAGGGACGAAGTTGGTGTCTGTGAGGTACTTCAAGAGCCTGGCCTCGTGTTGGATCACTTCCCATGTGACGCCTTCATTGATATAGTCCTTCACCACAAGCTTCCCCTCTCGTCCAGACATCTCCGCCAGGTACACACGGCCGTACGCACCCTGACCAACACACACAAACATGCCATCATCTTTCCTAGCAAACCGCACATCCCTTTTCTCTAGAATTGGTAGGTCGATGTGGTCCAGATCCTCACTCATGGAAGGTAGAAGTGGGTAGCCGTTGACTGTGAAAGGTGAGACTCTGGGATCAAAGCCGAAGACACGGAGCATGACATCATCAGTGACTTTGCTTGGCGATTCTTCGGCAACTTTAATCTCACTGACTACTTTGACAGATGACAGAGTGTTCGAAATCTGTTTCTCACTGCGTGCAGATAGTAGTTTACCTACCACGGCTTTGTGGGACAAAAGTTTAGCTTTTTCAAAGGACATAATCTGCTTCCTCATCAGCTCTTGTTGTTCCTGGGAGGACAAATCTGAGGATGCATGTCCTGACACTTCGACAGATGGGACAGACTTCCTTGGTGAGATCTCCTTTGTATGGACTAGTTCCATTGCAAGACTCATTGTATTCCTTGTATATCCATGTTGGGTTTGCAGCCCCATGCCGGAGGTCTGTAGTTCATCGGCAAGTGACATCATGTTTCTGGAAGACGATGCTTCATCACTGAAAGACCTGCGGATGAGGTTCTCAATAAAATGAGGATCTGTGTATTCAATAGGGAAGTCCTCGACCAGGCTCACGGGGCTCGTTGTGTTGGTAATCATATCATCCATGACATCATTTCTGTGAGAATTCTCATGTCTCATTTCTTGATCTAAATGGGGACTCTGTGGAGCAAGTTCATCAGCAAGGCTTAGCTCATTTCTGTCCTCAGAAGACTTGGTAAGTTCCTGGGTCATTGCTTTAAACCAGGTAGTTTCTCCAGCAGCAAACACGTCATACTCATCCACGTGATCATCGACGTCATCACAGACAGGCACTTTCTTCTGGGATGACTTTGGCTCTCCCTCGGGATTCAGTTGTCTCTGATGTGAGCCTCCAATGCATTGGTTCACTGGTGACCTTTCAGTGTTGCTGACATTGGTACAATCACTGCTGTCCACAAACAACCTGGCCGCTGCAGATCTATATTTGGGAAAAGCCTTGGACGATTGTCTGTCAACAAACACATCAAATGATTTGATCGCCCTTTGTTCATAGAAGGATGGTGGAATGAGCTCATACTTCTTCGTCACAGGTGGTTCAAGGACGCCTTTTGGTGCTGCAGATGGTGACTTGGTGAAGAAGTCTGGAGTCAGCAGTAGAGGAGTTGTATCAGCTGAGTCTTTGCCAAGGCCGCTTGTGTCACAGGTCTCAGTTTCTGTGTTCACAGAGTCCAGTGAGCCACCGACCTGGACATCAAGAGTTGGAGTTGGATCCGTCTGACAGGCGACGTCCACTTGGGCAGGTGAAGCTTGGATCTCTACCTGGCGGGTACTGGGAGAGACTTGAATCCCGCTTGATGTGGTGGCAACAGAGGCTTGCGTAGCACAGGAGGTGGTACTAGTGGATGTCTGACTGCCACAGGAGGTGGAACTGGTGGATGTCTGACTGCCACAGGAGGTGGTGCTGGTGGATGTCTGACTGCCACAGGAGGTGCTGGAGGTTGCCTTGCCACAACAGGTGGAGTGAGAGGTAGTTTTCTGCCCATCGACCTGTGTGAAGATCTGGAGAGACGTGTCCTTGGTTTGAAGATGTTTCAGGATGATCTCCTTCAGTTCATCTGCACTCACCACACTAACTTGTCCTGAGTTGCCTGGGAACAGGTTACCTGTGCACATTTTGTTGGAAGACAGTGGCACGAAGACAACAGTGGATCGGCTTCCATCTTCCCTCACTGCTGAGAAGGTGGTGCCTTTGGGGGTCCTCAGCCAGGCTTCATCGCCACAACCACTTTGGTCAGAACGAGGCTGGTATCCATTTGATAGATGTATGAGGGGGGAATGGCGTCCCAGGATCGACACGTGACGGTCATGTTAGTGGCCCCAAGCTTGACCTGCATCCTGGAAGTTAAAAACAAGAAGTCAATCCATAATACACGCGGACAGCAATAATTCACAATCAGCATCTGATTTAGATTAATAGATTAATAATTTTGGAAACATCGTTCGGCCCTCGTGTGCGTTGGCGTGTGTGAGTGTGTGTAGTGCATGCTTGTGTGCGTGCGTGCGTGTGTACGTACGCGCGCGCCTGCCTCTGTGTAGGAGTGAGTTAGTGCCTGTGTTAGTTTTTGTGTTACCATGCGTTTGTGTTTATGATAGTAGAATCTGGAAAATTTCTGTGTGTTCTTTTTAAAGCGGGATGGTGGGGTAGCCTAGTGGTTAAAGCGTTCGCTCATCACGCTGAAGACCCGGGCTCGATTCCCTACATACCTACAACGTGTGAAGCCCATTTCTGGTCTCCTCCGCCGTGATATTGCTGGTATATTGCTAAAAGCCGCGAAAAACCATACTCACTCAGTTTTTAAAGAAAATATTCACAAAATCGGTCTGATTTGTGTACGATGTGACAATCTGTAATAATCTGAAAATTGACATAATCTTCTAATGAGTAAATCCAAACAATTTACCACATGTAAATGGTCTATGAATATTACATTATACGACGCGTAACATGGGAAGGCACATGTGAGAGATAGAGCGAACGTCGTATACATAATGTACCAACACCAAAATATCCTCACGAATCCTACCTTTCACTCAATGAGCGGGTGTCCTTTCTCGTCCAAAGTTTCTTGTTATTTCTTGCCATTTCTGAACACATCTGAATTTCTCTTTGCGTCACCTTTGAAGAAATTGAGGTGTTCATAAGTCATTTGTGAACTTAATTCTTTGGAATTATATTTGATTTAGGAAATACAATAGATGGCACCATTTCATTCAGGTTGATTTCTATTCATTTAAATTCGTATTTGTCATCCAGCCAGAAAACCAATACACCAAACACTTGTTTCTCAAGTGTCTCTCACAGGTCTCCCTACGGAGACAAAAAGTAGCGTAGAGAATTATTAACCTATTTGGAAATCGGTCAATTTTTTGAGTTAAACATTGGTTTTATAATTGTTTTCAATGGGTTCAGGGTGGTACAATGTTGTTATTCCATAAATAATCATTAAAGAATCTTATTAATTCCTTGATATCTTCAGATAAGGGATGCGACTGACGAGTCAATAGGATTTCTGATGGTATTTACCTTGTAGATGGCGTTGATAGTCTTCAGTACCCCCGACTGTCTCCAAGGGGCGTCTCCTCCCGTCTTTATATGCGGGGGATCTCTTCCTCCCAAACCTTCCACTTGAAAAGCTTTCATTTTGAAGAGCTAGTTAATCGCATGTGATGTCGCAAGACCAACACTGTTGCTAATGACCCTTCTGTCTGACCAGATCAGCCTTGGTAACCTCCTATGACGTCATTGCTCTGTGACGTCACATTTATCTGTGAAGTCACATGTTTAAGTGGGCGCATCGCTAAGCTCCTACAGCGGGTCAACTGTACATAGTTTGTACGTCAATTTTGCAATGGAATTGTTGTCTGTACATTTAAACGTATACAAATAGTTTTAAGAAATGTCAGTATTCAGTATATTTCCAAGCTGACCAGTGGGTCGTTCTCTTAATTTTTTGACAATACGAAGTTACCCCCGATGCTTGTCGTTGGAGGCAACCAGATCGATCGGGTGGTCCGGCTGGGCCTAGAATCTACTTATAGGTGATTGTACGCGTAGACGGAATATCAGAATATCGATCACTGGATTGTCTAGTCCAGGCACAATTATCTATATTCCATTGCTAGAATAACCGAGCTAAAATATTAGTTTGCAACCTAGTAAATAACAAAAGTTAATGTTTAGTTTAATACTGAGATGTACTAAAACATAACAGAGTTGATTGTTTCTGTCAGACTCGGTTGTTGGTGGATCATCGGTTTGAAATATACAACCAAACAATGGGCGGTAGAGCAAATGAGACTTTCATTCTTACAAACAGTGTCTTTCTACAGTGGCAGGGTTGGCTAGCCGTCTGATGTGTCGTAGATTCCGTTTGACGGGGTCGACCATTCGACTTTGACCAAAGGTTCTTCAAGATGCCTTCAAGAATTTCCCCGATGATATTCCCTACACAGTCGCCATAAAAAATCGCGAATAAAGTGTTTTGTGTGAGTGGGTGAGTGATTTTAGTTTTACGCCGCTTTCAGCAACATTCCAGCAATATCACGACGAGGGACACCAGGGGCTTCACGCATTGTACCCATGCGGGGAATCGAACCCGGGTTTTCAGCGTGACGAGCGAACGCCTTAACCACTAGGCTACTCCACCGCCCGGGTCGGTTTTGAACTCCTCATTATGGAAGGATATGTGTGACATATCGTTTGTGTTAATAAGTTTAGTTGATATCATGTCATTAAATGAGTTATACTTAAACTTGGTATATGCATAATTGTCACATATGTACGGCTGAATAAAATGGTTGAAAAGGTCGGATGCACCCTTGCACCCTTCACCCGTATTTTAGGTGCAGGTGGGTGCGGGGTCTGTGGTGTGATATATGCAGTCTCCCAGGGGACACCAGAAATGGGCTTCACACATTGTACCCATGTGGGGAGTCGAACCCGGGTCTTCGGCGTGACGAGCGAACACTTTAACCACTAGGCTACCCCCCCACCCCCCACCCCCCTAAGAAGTACCCCTTGAGATAATCAATGATGTACATTAGTGAAATGTTTGTATTTTCACTTACATATTCTTTTGAAAATGACTCACCGGAAACAAAATATATATCGATGCTGTCAAATATCGCCTCTTCTGGCTACTACGGATTACGTGTTAAAACTCCCACTGTTTATGTAAACAAATCATACAGTCTAGCACTTTAAAATACACAGTGCAGAGAAATATACCGGATGCAGAAGAGGTGAGGTGAAACCTGGCCCCGATTTCTCGAAACAAACTTAAGTCTGAGTTTTGACTTAAGTTAAAGTTTTTACTCAAATTTGAGAAAATGCATTTCACAGAATGATCTGAAATCGATATTAAGCTCAAACATAGTAGACAATTTGAGTTTGATGGATAGATTACTTAAGTTGTTTGGGCTTTTTTATTTATAAAATGCAGTTGAGTTAAGAATTCAGCTGTTTCAAATTGTCAAACTCAGTTTGAAATTTGAGTAAAAACTTAAGTTTGTTTCGAGAAATCGGGGTCTGGTTTAACGTCGTGCTTGAGAATATTTCGCTCATATGACGACGTGCATGTGTGTGTATGTGTATGTGCGGCTGCTTGTACTAGCCCAGACTAAAGCTGGTTTTATAGTGCTAGCCCACTGAGATACCATGCCGCAGTGAAGCATGAATACCCCACTCAGACACATTATACTGACTCCGAGCCGACCAGTCCTTGTTGTACCCATTAATGCCGAGCGCCAGGCAGGGACCAACAAGTACCATATTGTAACGTCTTTTGGTATGACGCGGTCGGGGATCGAACCCGCGACCTTCCGCTCTCCGGGGATGCGGAAGACAACCGAGAGTCTGTAACTACTCTTCTCGTGTATCAACAATGATGCTTACATGCTGTTTCAACCGTGATGATCCATGAAGCGATGTTTTCAGATATTGGAAAAATGGCTTGCTCTTCCTATCTCCCAAACCCGTGAAGATCCGGGTTAGAATTGGTCTTTAGCAAGCCATGCTTGTCGTAAGAGGCGAGTAACGGAATCGTGTGGTTGGCACAACTTGACCCATAAAGACTTGTCATTCCTATCACTTACATTTTCTAGAATGCCTCTTTAACAGTGGTTGACTCATATCATCGTATGCCAATTGCGTGGATCGATGCTCATGATTTTGATCACAGGATTGTCTGGTTCGGACTCGATTTAATTACAGACCGCCACCATATAGTTGGAATATTGCTGAGTGTGGCGAATAACAACAAACAAAACATTGTATTTTGTCTTCTCGAGAGCGATAAACTGCATTGTTCAAATCACCTGGAGGTGAGGTGAGGTGAAATTGGGTTTAACGTCGTGCTTGAGAATATTTCGCTCATATGACGACGTACATGCATGTGTATGTGTATGTGCGGCTGCTTGTACTAACCCGGACTTAAGCTGGTTTTATAGTGCTAGCCCACTGAGATACCATGCCGCAGTGAAGCATGAATACCCCACTCAGACACATTATACTGACTCCAAGCCGACCAGTCCTTGTTGTACCCATTAATGCCGAGCGCCAGGCAGGGACCAACAAGTACCATATTTTAACGTCTTTTGGTATGACGCGGTCGAGGATCGAACCCGCGACCTTCCGCTCTCCGGTCGGACGCTCTAACCACTACACCACGGAGGCGGTCCAAAATCACCTGGAAGTTATTAAAAATCAAAGTAATTTATCAGTAAATATAGCGGTGTGTGTCTGTGTGTTCTACTTCTACTCAGTGTGAGTGTTCTACTTATATACTGTGTGTTTGTTGTACTTCTACTCTGTACGTGGGCGTACGTGTTCGCGCGCGCGTGTGCGTGTGTGTGTGTGTGTGTGTTCTACTTGTCAGTTGCCTAGCAACAAGAGTTCCAACTGTTCTGATGTTGGCGATGACAGCTCTTCCAACACTCCGGAAAGAATGTCTGCTTTATGGCGTTGCCCTACACTAGTCAACAAAACAAAACAAAACAAACATCTTCTTGTTTCGTTCTTGCAAATCGCCGTTATTATTTTGGGGCGTTAATTGTTCTAAATGTGGCTGAGACGGAAATATAAACAAGTGATTTCTTCGAGTGCTAAAGCAATAAACACACGTATATAAAAGAAAGAATCCTGCTTGACAAAACTCGTTTAGGTACACTGTTTTGAGAAACACGACTACCTCTAACACGACTCCATCCTCTCTCTCTCTCTCTCCCTCTCTCTCTCTCTCTCTCTCAAACCTCCATCACGTGACAAAGCCTTAACCTAACCTACATGCCCATGTTTACTGGAGTTAGTTTCAGTAATCAAATTTGTCGAAGCGGGAGAATGTTTGTTATTATGTTCAAACGTATCCAGTTAGGTTTCATTTATTATCTATAGACGCTTTGAAGTTACAAGATAGGCGTCAAATACAAGCAAAACAATCCCATTTAAATCGATCAGTTATTGTGGTACATCTGAATATTACTAACTTCATCTGATTTATCGCGACTTGTAAGTGTCGTTCAGTTTCAGTTACTTGCAGTATTCAACATCAAAGGCCTGGATCTGACGGGATTGTTGAGTGAGTGAGTGAGTGAGTTTAGTTTTACGCCGCACTCTGCAATATTCCAGCTATATGGCGGCGGTCTGAAAGGATTGAGTCTGGACCAGACAATCCAGTGATCAACAGCATGAGCATCGATCTGCGCAATTGGGAACCGATGACATGTGTCAACCAAGTCAGCGAGCCTGACTACCCGATCCCGTTAGTCGCCTCTTACGACAAGCATAGTCGCCTTGTACGGCAAGCATGGGTTACTGAAGACCTATTCTACCCCGGATCTTCACGGGCCCGGGATTGTTGAGACACGATGTGTTGAAATTTTGTCACGAAGAGTTTGGCTCGCTCCAAGGCTGTGCTGCATAAAATGAGAGTACAAATAAAAGTCCTCGGTTAAAAAGTACCTGGTAAAAATGTCCTGAATTTGCCTAGGTTAAAAAGTCCTCCGGAAAGAAGTCCAATTATAATTTTCTAACAAGAAATGTACAGAAAAACAATGCTTTTTTTTTTTAGTTTTCAGTTTCTAATTGCCACACATACAACAAATGTAAAGGTCTTATGACATAATGACGTATTGATATAGGAATCATACGAAATAACTAAAGTTAACATTATATGTTATAAGTTACATAATGCATCACATGATGGCATGAGATAGTCTTGTCGGGGCGGTGGGGTAGCCTAATGGTTAAAGCGTCCGCTCGTCACGCCGAAGACCCGGGTTCGAATCCCCACATGGGCACAATATGTGAAGCCCATTTCTGGTGTCCCCCCGCCGTGATGTTGCTTGAATATTGCGTAAAGCGGCGTAAAACCAAACTCAGTCAGTCAGTCAGTCAGTCTTGTCATACTGAGTGAGTGAGTGAGTTTATTTTTACACCGCACTCAGCAATATTCCAACTATATGGCGACGGTCTGTAAATAATCGAATCTGGACCAGACATATTGGCCTACTGGTATTTATGAGTGAGTGAGTTGGGTTTTACGAAGCTTTTAGCAACATTCCAGCAATATCATGACCTTCCAGACAGTGTTAGGTGTACAGCGGGTGGCCACAATATTACGTATATTGTGCATATTTTTTTAGTAAGTTCAGAAATTAATCTTACTTTGAAACGATCGCGTTTGAAAACTAACTCGTAACCAATCTT